TCTGTGCATGGTTTCAGGAACATTTATTTAATAATATTGTTTTATTTTGATGATTAATGTTATTTTGAACCATCTAATACATATTCACTTTCAATGCCTAATATATTATCAAATGTATTCATGTTTTGTTGTTCATGATTTGGGAAATATTTAGAAATTGAATGAAAATGCATACTTGCTAAATAAGTCACTAAAATTAATAATTTTCATAAAATTTTATGGTCATATCATATGTTTTCGTACACCATCATATTAATTCATTTTGTACTACATGTATGCATGTTTTTTCAATGGAAATTGTGACGTCACAATGCATTCTTAATAGAATGAAAACTATCAGCCAATAAAGCAAAACCAGGGAAATACTTGTAATCCAGCATTAGTAACACAATTATATGGATATGTACATGTAACTATTGGTTGGTTGTTGGTTATAAAAAGTCCAGTGACAAGTATCTCATGCAAATTTAAGACCAGAGAGTTAACAATACATTAACATACAATATGTACATGATGTATACATAGGTCCTGTAAAAGGCCATCCCACACAACAAAAGTTAGCCAATGCCCCACATGTTAGAGTTTAACAGTAAGACGAAAAAGATCAAGAGTAACATTTTTTTATTCCTTTGACCTTGTCACCCTTGGTGTGATGTATTCAAAGTAAATAATGGATTAAATGACATACACATGATAAAAGTTGGAGGGGGAATGGTGTCATACATGAATTTCAATGATGCTCAACTTTTCCAAGCCCAAATCCTAACTTTGCCTTGGAACATGCAACTATGCACGAGTGTGGTGATATAGATCGTCGATTCATAGCCTGTCTGTAGTGTAGGAAGAACAAATGTGCACATTTTCCCTTCAAAATCTTGGATCCATGATTATTCGATAGACATGCTTTAAAATATTGTTCATTTCTACTCACCGATTGTAATTTCCAGCTCAGGTTATATTGTACATGTGGTCTAACATCTGTAGTTTCCTGTGTAAAATATAGTTTGCCGACCTGCAGGTCCAGCTTGCCGACAAGAAAATAAAGAGGGTAAATCGTTCACGGTGAACAATTGTTTTCCGTTTTTAATGAAACTTGACAGATTTAATTAATTTTTTTTTATCATCGGAAATATCCCTCACGGGGAGTAATTCAAATTAAACTGTACAATATTGGTAACTTAGTCATATTCTTTAAATTTACTTCAGGTACACCGACGGTACATTTTCTATTCCTCAGAATTTATCAAAACTTTTTCAAATATAAATTTGAATGAATTCATTAGCATCTTCTTCAATAATATTAAAACTCCATTTTTAAACGAAGGCTTCTGGTATGTAAAACCAGTTATGAACGAATCTGAATAGATAAATTAAAAAGTACAGATACCTAAAGGAAAGTCAAACGCACATGTCAAAAATGAACGGACAATGCTATGGCAATACACGGAAAACGACAAAAGACAAACAACGATCGCAAAATAAATAAATAAAAAACAAAACAAGTCAACAACCGCACAATAGATAATAATAGTATAAATTATGGGCTATTTCACAACTATATCAAATCTTGAGAGCCGGGTGAAATGTAATTTCTTTTTTACACTGAGTTGCTACCGTGACGCTAAAATATTTGTCGACTGCAACAACCTATGAAATGTTTGTTTTAAACATTTAACGACTGTAGCAACCTTTTACAATTTGTAATAAACATTTTATGACTGTAACAACCTTTAAAAAGTTGTAACAAACATTTTACAACTGTCCCAACTCTAAAAACGTTGTAACAAACATTTTTTGACTACATCAACGTCTGAAAAGTTGACACAAACAAATTTCAACTGTCCCAACTATTAAAAGGTTGGGACAAACATTATACAACTGCCACAACTTTTGGAAAGACTGTAATAAATAGTATTTGACTGTGACAACCCCGTAAACCACTGCAACAGTCCTTAAATTACTGTTGATAACATTTTTTTGATTTTCACAACCCATAAAAGTGTTGGGACAGACATTAATCAACTGTATCAGTTTCTTTGACAGTCATCTTCAGTCTTCCACAGACTAAGACAGTCGTACAACGACTGTTACTGGTATGGACAGTTGTTTTTTCGTCCAGTAGTGTATTCTGTTACAATTATTTCTTGATACTGATAAGTTTTATAGATTTTGAAATGACATTATATTAATGATTTAAATTAAATTTTGGATTTTTTTCTTCTTTTCTTTGGTAAATTGTTTGTAGAATTTTGTGGCAAGTTTGTTTGTTATTCTGTAAAAACTAATATTCTGAATGCTATATTTTTTTTTTTATGAAGTAAATTCCTTTAAAAACTAAGTTTATATTGTCTATTAATAAACATATATTTAGATTTCTGATTTTGGGCCCACTTTTCAAGTTGGTCCAAATTGGGGTCCAAAATTAAACTGTGTTTGATTTCAACATAAATTGAATATATATAGGGTTGTTTGAAATGCTTAATCTGAATCTGTATTTCTTTTCATTATTAATAAGATAATACCACATTGAGGTCCAAAGGGTCCTTAATTACACTTTTGATTAATTTCATCAAAAATTGAAATCTTTGGTTCTTTGATATGCTGATTCTAACAATGTTTGAGTGTTAAATCATATCTAATTTTAGAGAACTTAGTCATCACTGGTTGTTGTAATTATATTATTGATTATAATTTGAAAAATTGCGTCATTTCCAGTTTGAGTTATTTCCCTTTGCACAGAAAATATTATGGATAAAATTAACCTGTGTTTCATTTCAACATGAATTAAATATATATAGGGTTCTTTCAAATGCTGAATCTAAATCTGTATTTCAATATTAGATTTTTGAGCACAGTTTTCAAGTTGGTCCAAATCAGGGTCCAAAATTAAACTTTGTTTGATTCAACAAAAAAATAATTGATGGGGTTCTTTGAAATGCTGAATCTAACCATGTATTGAGAGATTTTGGATTGTGGGCTCCTTTATCAAATTGGTCCACATTGAGGGCCAAAGGGTCTTAAATTAAACTTTTGTCTGATTTCATAAAAAATTGAATTCTTGGGGTTCTTTGATATGCTGATTCTAATATGTACTTAGATTTTTGATATTGGACCATAATAGGTATTTAAATGTCCAATTTCAAGTATTTCAGTTCTTAAACCACATTCATTTTGTGTCACAAACCTATGCTGTGTCAAATATTCAATCACAATCCAAATTCAGAGCTGTTTTAAGCTTAAATGTAGTGTCCATACTTGCTCAACTGTTCAGGGTTCGACCTTTGCAGGAAAATCCGGTTTGCTGTCACTCTGACAGCCTCTTGTTTTTCTTTTATTTGGTAAATTGTTCGAAGAATTTTGTGGTAGGTTTGTTTGTTATTCTGTATAAACTAATTTTCTGAATGCTATATACATGTTTATATATATATATTTTTTTATGGAGTGAACTCCTTTAATTATCCTTTTTATTATAGGATATATTTCATTACATTTAAAGTTGTTGACATTGATCATAGATAAGTTGCAGATCTTATTAGTTTGTGACAAATGAAAGAAAAAATATTTGGAACTATTAATTATATATGAATATAATTTGAAAATAGATATACATTGTGTTACATCATATCTAATTTTAGAGAACTATTAATCATATCTAATGTTAGAGTACTATGTTAAACATTATTTCTGTTCAAAGGGAAATAACTCAAACTTATTCTATGAACACATGATAACATCAAAATTTCTTTATATCTATTTTTTTTAAGTCATGTGTGTTATGAAGGTAGATGTCACAGTTGTTATGTGGTATTTTATTTTTGTTGTTGTGTGTTCATGTTTAATTTTTACATGATCCTGTTTGGGGTTCAAATTTGCAAATATCATTTTCATTATTAATTAGATAATAATCTATTTTAATTATTCAATCACAATCCAAATTCAAAGCTGTTTTAAGCTTAAATGTTGTGTCCATACTTGCTCAACTGTTCAGGGTTAGACCTCTGCAGGAAAATCTGGTTTGCTGTCCCTCAACATCCTCTTGTTAATTTTGGGTCCGGTTTTCAAATTGGTCCACATTAAGATCCAAAGGGTCCAGAATTGAACTTAGTTTGAATTTATCAAAAATTGAATTCTTGGGGTTCATTACACTTGATATGCTGAATCTAAACATGTGTTTAGATTTTTGATTGTGGGCCTAGTTTTCAAGTTGGTCCAATATCGGAGTCCATAATTAAACTTTGTATGATTCAACAAAAATTGAATATATGGGGTTCTTTGATATGCTGAATCTAACTGTGTATTTAGATGTTGGATTTGGGCCCCGCTATAAAATTGGTTCACCATGTTCACATTGAGGTCCATAGGGTCCATAGACTTTGTTGGATTTCATCGAAAATTGAATTCTTGGGGTTCTTCGATTATGTCGATATGCTGAATCTAACCATGTATTTAGATTTTGGATATTGGACCATAAAAGATATATGTCCAATTTCAAATTTATAAGTTCTTAGACTGCATTCAATCTGTGTCAGAACTGATGCTGTGCTAAACGATTAATCACAACCCAAATTCAGAGCTGTATCAGGCTTGAACATTGTAGTGATCAAGCACTTCTCTTTTGAGTATCACCACTTCTCCCTTTCAGTTTCAAAAACTGAAGTCACTTCTCCTTATGATTCTGAAGTAGTGTGAGCTCTGATATTATGTGATGTGGTATCATGTGATTTTACATCAATCAACTATCCACTTCCTGTTTACTAAATACATTTGTATTTATGGCAGGGTTATCATTAGTGAGCATTACCCCAAAGTTGAACTTGGGTTACTACTGGAAGTGTTTTACGACCTTGACTGGATATACATCCCTCGCACCCCTTTCTCTTAAATCACCAGACATATATGTTATATCTTAGATAATTTCTGTTAATAAGTTTCTGGTTAAATGGCCATCATGAACACCAGCTAATGATAAAAGTTATAATTTAAGGTGGTTATATTTGTAGGTCCACCATTAGAACACATGCAAGAAATAGGACGAGCATTACGCTGTATAGGAGACGAGTTAGACAAAAATCCAAATATTCCGAGGTAAAGTATATAAACAAATAAAAGTTCATTAGTAGGAGTCAATGTTTAAACAAAAATTGAAGGGCACAAGTGTTAAAACCAATTGTGCTCTTCATATTTTTCAGCAATGTAAAAAAAAGGCATAAATATATTATAAACATCATTGTACATGTATATATTCAACCTATTTCAAAACCTGTTTACATTTAACTAGAGTCTATTATTCTATGACACACTGAGACAAACATTGCAGACTCATGCTTAAAATCTGTAGTAAAAGCAGAATAATGTGCAGGGGCGGATCTAGCCATTTATGAAAGGGGGTCCCCCCCCCCCCCCCCCCCCCCCGGATCCACCACTGATGTGCAGTAAGATATATTTACAGGATTTTAGTAATTTTTACAGGAACTTCTGACTGAATATTAAAAATAATGGAAAAGATACAACTAATCATAATTTTCATGTTTTCTGTTAATCTCCTTTTTTGAAATGGAAGTAGATGCTTCTCGTTGAAATCAGACATCTGGTGTTGCATTTTAGCAGTTGAGAGAGAAAGAAATAAGTACAATGGTAAAAATAGTTTGTCATGACTGTTGCTAGGTTTTTTCAAGGATTTGTATAGTGAGATATACAAATCTCACTATACAAATCCTTGGTTTTTTGGTTCTTTTGACAAGATAACCGAAGGGACTTTTAATATCATGTAAAAATGTTAGTGATACCAGTATTTAATGTTTTTCAGTTTATGTTCTCAAGTTTCTCCAGAAGCAACTACAGATACATTCCTGACTGTTGCCAAGAGTTTTTTCTCTGATGGAGTTTATAACTGGGGACGTGTAGGCTGTCTATTTTATTTTGCCTATAAAATGGTAGTTAAGGTAAGATTATAATGTTGTCATGACTTCTGTCCTAACTTGTGTGAGGGAATTTAATGCTTGCTATATATCATGGTTCACTTAAACACACATTATGACACCACTGAACTATCTATTCTGAATAAGATTTTTAAAAAGTAATTTCAATGCACATAATGCATCTCTGTATTATTTGTTAATGAATTAACGTTTTATAAGGGCAAACTTGCTAAATAAGTAAAAACAAATGTTCAGTTTTTAAGTCCAAGCTTTCTATTTCTTTAAATACTGTATCATGGGAGATCATTCAATCTCCACCAGTGTTGTCTGTTCTTCTGTACAAACACCCCTCTCATAATTGAAGGAGATCTGGGGAATACCTCAGTGAGAAGGTTAACTAAGTCACAAAATAACAAGACACAATTTTAAAATTTCTCCCAGAAACTTTCATTATACATATTAAGTTTTGTTTGGATTATTTCCCCTTGATTATTTATTTGTTTTATTGAAAAGTCAGATTTCTATACTAGTAACGCATTTGATGATTTAAATTAACACGAGTTCTTATTGTTAAGAAGGTTGTATAATTGCATTGGACATAATTTTAGTGTTAATTGGTTCTTTTTTTTTTATAGATTAACTATCATCATGACACTTATTTTTTACAGGCCTTAAATAAAATAGCATTAATACGAGCAATAATAAATTGGGTGGTGAACTTTATAACAGATTATGTTGCACCCTGGATAATAGAGCGAGGTGGTTGGGTAAGTATAAATAACCATGGTAACTTCTTTCATAACTGAACAATAATGAAAAGGATTGTGAACCCTATGAAATTTCTTTATAATAGACCTTAATATTGTGTGCTTGTAAAAATATCAGAAAAGCCTGTTATAAAATCATCAACACCTCTCTCTCTCTTGTTAATGCACATCTTAGTGCAGAAGAAAAATTAGAAAAATCACCAGATATTTTCTACATTAATGAATATCATGTGTATAAATCCATTTATCATTTTTTTACTTTTTGAAAGTTACCTCATATCAAAATTGACTAGAACAATATCGACATTGAAAAACAAGAACTTTAGGAATTTATTTCTAAACTGTATAAAGACGTCATTGTCCTATGGTCCATAGATCGTTGTCTCATTGGCCATGTTGGCAATCACACCAAATCTCCTTATTTATATTTAACTGACACACTCTGAAAACTCTTCTTTCATTGCTTTATGTACATTGTAAGTACTGCATTGAGATACTAAAAGTGAGATTATACTGTTTATTTATTTTTTTCAGTAAATATTCCACTACCTAATACATTCCGTTTATCTGACTTGTCATCTGACAATATTGGTAAAGTGTTGATTTGTATTATGCCTTTTTGAGTGCAACAATAGGCAACTTCTGTTATAACTTAAAATATGCTTATCAAACAAAGATTTATAGCTTACTGTTCGGTGTGAGCCAATGCTCCATGTTGAAGACCGTACTTTGACCTATAATGGTTTACTTTTATAAATTGTAACTTGGATGGAGAGTTGTCTCATTGGCACTCATACCACATCTTCCTATATCTATTTATCATAAAAAGATAACATTTGTTTATCTTTCTCATTGTAGGAAGCCATTGAGGAGTATTTTGGAACACCAAAAAACCAGATGATGTTTGTTTTAGGACTTGGAGCATTAACTGTAGTAGGAGTATATATGTATAAAACTTGGAATTGACTACTGTACACATCTTTAATTTAAAGCTTCATATTTTTAAGGAGCAAATTTTAGGCAACTATATTAAACAATAAGTCTGACATCATATGAAACTATTTTTTTTTCATGATCATGATGATGGACTGGTACCATTCATGTTATGATGGACTGGTACCATACATGAGAGTAAACTTTAAAGGAACATTGTCAGCACTTTTTTGATAAATTTGTTATTTTAAGATTTCCATTGTTCATAGGTCAAGGTCAACATAACATTGTACAATGACAAGTAACTGTAACAACTGAAACACATCTTGTAATAATTAATTCAGGTATACCCCAAAACACTGTTAAGATAGAACCATATGTTTTCATTTGTTAATTTGAAAACTAATGTTTCATGCTACTGTATTTTTACACTGTCATTTGTAGATGGTCACATACTGTGATACATATAAGAAAATTCATTTGTACTTATATGAAGAAGAAAAAAATGAAATAAAATACAAAATTAGAAAAAAAACAGCATTCCTGAAGTTCCTCATATCTAGTTTCAATCTGCAATTATCAAAATAGAATGTTGCTGTAGGCTGGACCCACGGCCTGACCTCAGTTCATTACAAACATTTTATAAACCTTTTGATGGTCCAAGTAAAAGTATTTCAAGTTTTATACTTTGTTTTGGTAAAACTGTTTTAAGAGAGAGAGTAACAGAACTGGATTTCTTCAGTTTTTCCCAATCATGTTTAAATGAATTATAAAGCAAGATTTTGGTAGTTGATCTATTTCGTTGTTGGACTTAACAATGAAATTTAAAGAATTTACATTTTCCCACACTTTTTTATGCGATGTTTGTAAAATTTATTTGATTAATTGTGGAAGTCGTCTAATGTAATTTTCAGCTCAGCTTTTTGTCAAATTGAATTCAATTTATTTGTTTCAAAATTTTTTCCCTTGGATTTAGCAAATCATCAGTTATCAACACCCCTTTTTGTATTACATTTAATATTAAGTCATCCTGTGAGAAGTGATTGATCATGATACATTTTGTTCCAGGTTTTCAACATTTTATAAAATTTATATCCTTTTAACTGAGAAAATGGTTAAAGATAATTATAATAATTTTCAGAATATCAGTTTTTAAAAAAACAAAGCTGTATACTCTGTAAGACGTTGTAGTTTTATGATTTGTCATACACTCACAAATAGTTCCACATTGGTTGTTCTAATTTTTAACAAACACATTCATATCCAATAATTAGGGGTCAGCTTGTCACCTACCGGTAGTCTAAAATCTCTGTTTGGCCCTCCAAATGGTCAGTAATTGATTGTGACATCCTTTGCATCTAAAAACATCTGTCCATTTCATCAATCTTACTTTGTTATATGTACAGATGAAAACTGATGTTTATAAATCATATATTTCACAAAAAAAGTCAGCAGTCCATAAACAACAATCATTTACCATTACACAGTCTTATGAATTTTCACATAAGACATGTATGTAGTCATATACATTTTTTAACATGCATATATGTAGACAGTTTACATATCTAAGCCATGCAAATTAATCATTTCAGACAGCTAATTACCTGTCTCAACATAAAGGTGGATATATTCTAAAATTCTAGTACAGCCATGTAAAACTGTGTTTTAATAGTTACTACTAGTGTAGCATTTTCAAGTTGAGTAAAATTCATGGTATTATTTTGCATGACTTGACTTTGGAGAGTATTAGTTATCATCTCACTCTGAGCTAGTACTTGAATCTCCTCGCAGTATCATGAAGATAGGAAGTATTCTTATACACCTGGCTATCTCCTATTCAGAAGTGGTAAAAGATTTATTCACATTTAAACGTTGATCCTTTGAATTTATTTCGAAATACTGTGAAACCTTACTTAGTCAGACTGAATGATTTTTTTGTAAGACTAATTGACAGTAGAGCCTTGGTTAGTAATTTTGCTTTAAGACTATTGATTACTATCTGTGACATTAAGACTGGTATCAACAGAAAGAGAAAAAGTAAAAATAAACCAAAGTTTAGTCAAACTTGTTCTAAGTTGTTGACTAGAATCTGTTGCTACATGAACAGTCAATCTAGGCCTAATAAATCTAATCTTTTATTAGGTTTAAACCTACTAAAGTATAAGGTACTAGCATTTTGGAAGATTTTGAAAGAAAAAAGAAAACCTGCAGTCATGAAGTCATGAATATTTGTTTTACTCTAATAAGCATACTTCTCAATTCTATTTCTTATTGTTTTATTCAGATAGCTAGTTCTATTTAAAAAAGGCAAAGAACTTGTTCAAAACCTTGTTCATCCCACAATATCAGTCTTGCCTAGAAGTAAGGTTTCATTGGTAATTGAAAAGGATCAAGATTGTTTTCATTGTTGAAGTTCTTTTAAAATACCTGGCTTTAAAATGACATGAATGATGGTAAAACTTGTTTAAGAAATTTTACATGCTGTTTCTTTAGCAATCTACATTGACACAAAATGAAATGCCCCAACTTTCAACAAAAATAATTATTTTTTATGCACTCTGCATGAGAAATACAATCCGCATGAAATTGTCTCTGGAGATGTAATTAGTTTTTATAGAGAATATTTTTTTTTTTTTTTTTTATCATTGTAGCTTAACTTCTTAATGGTAATTTGCATGTATGAATTGTGGTTCATTTCACAGAAAGAAAAAAAAAAATAAAATTCTTAATAATCTAGTGCAATTCCCTGTTGAACAAGACATGTTGTACATTATTCAATTAAGCACCAAAAGGTTATGTTAGAAGGTTACTATTAATGACCTAGATGGATGCTCATGCCCCCTTACACAAATTAGATATATCTGAAAATGTGTCGAAAAAATGTCTGCCCATTATTCGGACTGCATTAATTTATTAGAATTACTATAGGACTAAGTCCAGTGAGTAGGTGTTCAGTCACAAGTTTTATTGTGTCGTTAGATATATAAAAAAAAATGGAAATGGAATAGAGTTCATAGAACAATGCATTTGTAATCATTTGTCAATATAAACAATAAATCATCAGTTTTATATTTTCTATTTGTTATTTTCAGACTATATTACCAAGATAATTACAATTCTTTATTTTCAAAAGCAATAAATATAGCTTAGTATGCATATGAAAATTGTACACCAAATTTTATTGCATGTATACACATCAAATTATATTCATATTCAAGTGTTGAACATCAATAACAACAGCACAGAAGGAAGTTTTTTTGGCAGCCAAAAGATATTCTCAAAACTTGAAACTCGCCAACATTTTGTACTTATAAAAAACTACGATTTTTTAAAACTGAACCTATGAGTTAACTGATGTAATAAGTTTCGCTTCTTGTCCATTTACAAGACATGTTTTGGACTGTAGATCGTAAATAAGATAACAACACTCAATACCTCTAAAGGAAGAGCTTGATAATTAATATCCTATATACAGATTTATAACCCGCATGGCGGAAGATGGGTGTATAACAAAAGACGATAACCCATCGAAACACTGGTTCTATTCAAAATAGATTTACAGGTTTTGAACATCAGAAATCTATTGTCGCCTCTCAAGTTTTATTTGCTTTGAAATTTGCTTTCGGTATTAATGAAAGACTCCTAAGTTAAAAAGGAAAAAGTATATTACAAATGATGTCATCTAAAAATCTACCTTCTTAAGATAATATAGCGAGAATACAAACATTTGAAAGTTCTTATATTTATGTCCTTGAAAGGTTGTACAGCAAGATTTTATTCATTAAAGAAGAGATTTACTTTGCCTGACTTTCTCTTTCATTTTCGACCACATCGGTGTACTCGTGGTGAGTATGCTCGCCTCGAATGCTATTTGCCACTGCTGGGTCAAAAAGACTAAAAAATTGAAATTCGCTGCATATCCGCTAAGCACGCGGCAATTTAGGAATAAGTCCGGTCGACTGGTCAGCTCGGAGTTCGAATAATGTTTGACATGTTAATCTTGGACTGTTACCTTGTGAACCATCACGTTAAGAAGTCCAGTTAATCATCAATCTAGTACAATGTAAGATTCATATTCATATCTCTTAACATGTTCCCCCGCTAATCATTTTCTATTTGCAAATGGACTTCATAATATAACGGCACCAATTTTTGTCGGAAAACACCAATCCATCTCTTTCATGTCCTAGTTAAATGCTTGTGCGTAAGATCTTGGTTTCGATCCCTGGCCTTGTTCGACGTGTTAGTTAGTTTCTCTGCTAAGCATGTAGCTTTAAGTAGTAGATGCTAGACTGGTCGGCTCGAAGTCGGTATTATGTGTCCGGGTATGTCGATATGTCTTCCTACAAAATGGTACCTTTACGAGCTAGCACATTAAAAGTATACAGGTTTCGTGTTCATATCAATGCATGTTATCGTCATAAATAAGTTTGTTATATTTGCAACTGGACGTCAAGAAGGTACAAAAAGACCTGCTCACAGTTGAAACAAGATTTCGATGATTTCATAAAAGTCCTTAAAGCTCTTCTACTTCATACTTTATTTGGCCTTTTTAACTTTTTTGAATCGAGCGTCACTGGTGAGGTTTTTGTGGACGAAATGCGCCACTGGCGTACACAATTATAAGCCTGTTTTCTTCGATGTGTTATTTTACCTCAGTCGATGTTAATTTTGATATAAGTAGAAAAAACATTGCAGAAGTATATCAAGCTGTTACTTTATTCTTGGTAAGTTTGTCTCACATGACTATTTTAGTATACATTGCAGGAGATACTTACCCGGTTTTGCTACATTCAGAGTTCATGCGATTGCATAGTGTTAGTGTGTGTCCTTGATTTGTCTTTTAAATTGCTTTGTGATATTTGAACGTCAGTGAATTACTTGTACTAAAACTTTCAATTTATTACATCGGTGTTTGGAGAACACTAAGAATACGTTTTGATAATATTTTCCGTGTACGGAATACATTTTCATATTATGTATGTACAACATTTGACAATTCTAACATGCTAAACCTTTTAGACTGGATTGAGATTTCCCATAACAAATGACCTGAAATAATTATTATCTATTAAATACATTCGTGCTTGCATATTACAAGCTGGTTATCATAAAGCAGAAACAAGGCAAAAAAACTTAATATACATAACAATAACAGTACCGTCTTCTGAAGATTTAAAATTTGGAATCTGGAATTTCAAACTTTATGTTACAAAAATATTATGTTTTGAATCGACTATACTGCGATTACCTCTAACATTGGTCATGACGAATAAATCATTTCGTGAATATGGCTAGAAATAAACCATCGTTTATGACATGCTAAAAAGATTCTGCTTAGTACATGAACATGAAAAAGTGCACTCTAATGCAAAAAAACTCACCATAGAAACCGGGATCAAAATTTTGTACGCCAGACGCGCGTTTCGTCTACACCCCTTTGCTTTACAAAAGAGGCGAAAGATACCAAAAGGACATTTAAACGCATAAGTCGAAAATAAATTGACAATGCCATGGCAAAAAAAGAGAAAAGGACAAAAAAGACAAACAACAGTACACAAAACATAACATAGAAAACTAAAGACTGAGCAACACGAACCTCACCAAAAACGAGAAGATCTCAGGTGCTCCTGAAGCGTAAGCAGACACTGCTCCATATATGGCACCCGTCGTGATGCTCAAATTAGACATTGTTCAATGAATGTAGTGGTTAAAAAGAGAAATAAAAAAACAGATAATGAAGCAAGACTATCCTATACACTTAAATGTTATAGAATTATTAATATCCTTTTAGTGATATCACATCTGTATGAAGACTAGTTGAACATTGGTACACAGGGTGTCGCAAATCGAACAACACACATTTGCATAAACTTCAAAAATATTACATTTGCCAAAAATTATATATGACATTTCCCACTTTCATATATATATATAAAAAACAGGAAGCGTAAAAAAAAACATAAACAGTGTTGGGAAAATAATTCAGAAATGATTTCACTGTAACGTCATAATTTTGATAATTAAATTATACGCTTCAATTTTACAAAGGGAGTTTACTTTCGACCGAATAACAAGAAACACATAAATGACAAACAAAAATTTTCACAATTTAATATAAATAGACATTGATCTGTTTGATTGATTGACTATAGTTTGTTTAACGCTTTTGATTTGTTTGAAGACGCTAATCGTATAGCATTGAAGATGTGATTGTGTTCGCAATATACTGTTGTCGTTAGTCCGTCTTTGATAACTGTGCGCTGCTGATGTCTTGTATAATTGCTTGGTTGCAGTCTAAGTGGCGTTGCTCCGTCTCTGTTAAATAGAGATGATTTGGAAAAGCGCTGAACATAACTGTACTTGAACGACTATATATCTGAATTTTAATTTCAACTTTCAGAGTTTTCTAATTTGTTCAAGGGTCAAAACTGGTTTTATGTATATATTTATATTGATATTACTTGATGTTCATGAACCTTTTTCGACATTTTGATGAGATTTCGAGAGTTATCTGTAAACAGATTTTTTATATGTTTTTTTTTTCTGTCATCCGTTGTTACATTATGGTATTATCTTGTCAGTTTTCTAATATTTTGCCAAAACCCTTGAGAACTATTTTGTAAAGTATTTTGCGATCATATTGTTTCCGCCATACATTATGATTTTTTTTTCTCACTCCGTTATCCTTTCATTTTACACAATATTTAAATGACATTTAAAACTATTATTTCTTGTTGCTGGGTATTGTACGAGAAAACCATTCATTGGTTGTTATACTGTAGAAAATAGACTAAAATGAATTAAATAAAAGTCTTGTCATTACTTACCGTTTTATCTGAAAGTTTGAAAGATAATATTCAGAACAATATAAAGAATTTAGAAGCACTTTCGACTAATGGGTTTTATATCATCAGGTTTATCTTTTACACATATTCGATCATGGAAAAGACAAATATTTTTACATATAAAAGACCACGTCTGTCTCTAATCATTCAATACTACGGCATAACATTCGTCGAATCGAATCGAATGAATTTATTTATTTTTTATTTCAATTCTAATAAGAAGATGTGGTATGATTGCAAATGAGACAACTCTCAACAAGAGACCAACTGACACAGAAATTAACAACTATAGGTTATCGTACGGCCTTCAACAATGAGCAAAGCCCATTCAGTATAGACAGATTTAAAAGGCCCCGAAATGACAAATGTAAAACAATTAGAACGAGAAAACTAACGGCCTAATTTATGTACAAAATAATGAACAAAAAACAAAAATGTTACACAGCAACAAACGATAACCACTGAATTACAGGCTCCTGACTTGGGACAGGCACACCATCGTGACAGAATGTGGCGGGCTTAACCTCGTTTGAAGGCGCCAACCCTCCCCTTAAACTGGGACAGTGCTGTAACAGTACAACATAAGAACAAACTATAAAAATCAGTTGAAAAAGGCTTAACTCATCAGATGGATACAAATAGAAATACATCTAACAAAGACACAGATTGGACGTGGACGGGTACTTGTACATCCCCACAACAAAATGACACTAAGTACAGATCTGAGAGTACTGGCAGTTACTGACAGCTAGTTCAAAGCCAATAACAAGGACGGGTACTTATACATCCCCACAACAAAATGACACTAAATACAGATCTGAGAGTACTCGCAGTTACTGACAGCTAGTTCCAAGCCAATAACAACTAATAAACAAATCATCATCTAAGACTAAAATATCAATCAGTACACATCCAACATCCTATGGATTTAGAGTAAAGACGTCATAAATAGAAATAAGAAGATGTGGTATGAGTGCCAGTGAGACAACTCTCCATCCATGTCACAATGTGTAAAAAGTAAACAATTATAGGTCAAAGTACGGCCTTCAACACGGAGCCTTGGCTCACACCATAAAGTATGTCATCTATTTCCCTGTATTTTTCCTTTCTTGGAACACGTTCCCACCGGCTCTGTATTGATAAGTGTGAGAGCATGGAAGGCTTCTTCTTGTCTCATTAACTTGACAGTCATGCTGAAAACTAGCTCACAGCCAATCACAACTTCTAAAAAAAATCCTGGAAAATGGATAGAATCCTAACTGTGTCTCTAAAAATGAACTGGTCATTTCTTAATTGTTTTTTTGAATATAAGTTACAGGGAAAGAAGAAGTGGTAATCATTAGTTCATTGTGAAGTCAGACATACATGCTGATCTTTACATAAAGAGTATAGAGTAACATAACAAAAAATAGGATTATTATACATATACATGTTGCATAAGTTTTCAATTTCATTATTAGCCATACTCTCAAGGGTGTGGGTTAAATTTAATGCGCGGTACCTGATCTTTCACGATAATTTTCAGTGAAGATCAAATAGTTTTTGGAAATGGCGAAATAGGTCGCTATTTGTAAGTCATTCGGTTATTCTTATTAAAATTTGAATTTTGTATGTAATTCAAATGTTGATTAACAATCTAGCTGCTGTTTGTATGGATCGATACCTCTGCTGGTAGACTGTTAGTCAATGAGGGTATCGTCAGCTCGGTTGTTGGTACTGACATAATTCATAACATATATTTTTTCTTATAAAAAAATTCCAGTTGATAAATTAAAAAGATACTATGAAACTGAAGTTTTAACTCCCTCAGACAAAGTTGACCTTATGTGCATTCGGCCATTCTATTTATGTTCCTGTCAGTCATATAGCTCTTAGTGTTTCTACGTATCTATATATCACTGCCTCTCAAATATTTGTGTTTGAGCGATCCTGGCGAAGATAAATCAAGAAAAGCGTTTTGGACGCGCGAAATTTATAAAGTTTATTTTTTATTTTGAATGTGAATGTGAAAACTTGGATTTCTCGCAAACACTGAACATAATGTAGAAGCATTTCGACAGCCTTCCTCAGTTTTTTTTACAATTTTTGTTTTTATAATTCAATAAATTGAACTGAATTTTAACATTACTTGGAAGTATCTCGATAAATTTCCATCTCGGTTCGATAGCAGATCTTTTAACGATCTGTTCAAAACTGGCGCTACTAATTCATTCATGATAAACAAAAACAAAAACAAATTGGTGGGTTCGGAGTCCGGGTAGGATTAAATGTTTCTTGTGGACTGTTACATTGAAGGGGCGGGTCCATGAGGTTTTTTTAAAAGGGGACACAATTCCCGGTAATTGAATACATAACGCCGAGCGGAGCTAGGCGATAAAACTTTTGGACGATTTTATACTAACAATTTATATAAATCATGAAAAACATGATGTTTTTTTTTTAATTTCTCGATCAGAGTGGGGGCGGGGCGTACGTCCTCTATGACCCCTCCTTCATCCGCTACTGCCTTGTTAGCTACACGTTAAAAGCCGTCTTAGCGTGACGGTCTAGTACAATTTATGGTAGTCATATCAAATCAGTCTATGATACTGTATTATGTTAAGAAAGATAACTCTAGCGCACAATAAGAAAATACCACACAGTAGTCAGTTATGAAATATATATATGAATCTTTATATCATGATATGACAGAAAAGATAAAGGAAACGGAGCATATGAAGTTTATTATATAGATTCATTTCAGACTTTGTTTTCTAACATGTTTAGTTCTCAATTTTTTTATTATTATTATCGACAATAAAATGTTATGACGGGCATTGTAAAAATAAGATGTGGTATGATCGCGATTGAGACAGCTTACCACAAGAGACCAAATGACGTAAAAGTCAGCAACAATATGTCACCGTACAGTCTACAGCAATGAACAAAACCCATGTTAAGCGAAGAATTGTATTAGATTTTATACGAACTATAAATAAAAAGAAGCGAAAAGAAAGAAGCAAAGGTTGAAAAATAATATAGTTCTGTGATGAGGACTTAGGATTTGATGAAGATGTCGACGATGATGATGGTGCGTGACAGTATCAATAACATTATATGAACGTGCAAGCGATCTGGTTAACAATTTAAGTAAATCTTGAGCATATTTGAAAAGTGATATTTTATTCATTCAAAAGTTCAAAATTTCCGAAAATTACCAGTTTAGCTAGTATATAAATCAAAGATTTCGGAAAGCCAATTAAGATTATTCAGTAAAGTTTTTTACGTGCAGTGTAAGTGCAGAAAACCGCTGATACAACTATTAGTTAATACTGTTGATGTATTGATACTTAATAGTAGGCAAAATCTGTACTCTACAAGTTGCTTTGTATTATTCCAGTCAGACTTTATCGCACCTACACGAATGTGATATTTTGACACATTGACCATAAATACATAAATAATATAGTTGCAAGTTTTGGACGTTGCTAATCGATATCAATACACACAAGGTAAGATCAGGTAAAATAAATGTATTATTCATATGGGACATCTTTAGTGTTATCCGAATCATACAATGGATATTTTGATTAACTTATCTAGAAAATTCAGGTAAATATTGATTTTCGATCTTTCAAAGCGCAACAGATGTCGACATTTTGAAACGTCTTAATCACCTAGAAGTTTACACAAATGTTAAATTTGACAATTAAATTAAAACACGTGGACAACGATGCATCATCATCAACTAAATGTGTAGAAAAATACTAATGTGTGATGACAGTGAATAAAAGAACGATTCAATATTAATCAAACTGATTTAGAACCGTACAACAAATCGGTCAATATGTTTACATAACTAGCCGTGAAGGAGAAAAAACGATAAACTATAAGATATATATTGTATGTAAATCTAAAGTAAATAATTCAGTGATACCCCCTTCTGTTATTAAAGCTTACGTTGCGAGGTAAATTATGGAAGGTTTCCAGGACAGACAAGGTGCGGTAAGAGGACTTCTTATTCGAGGCATGATTTATGAACCTCTGGAATTTAAAGAAGTAGTTTAATCTTGTTCGAAAAATATTCCGAATTATTCTTTGATAGTTGTTTTTAAAAAGTACGGTGTGTTCAGGAATAAGTCGTAAAGAACAAACCTAAAACTGTTTTCAGAAGAAAGAAGAACTTGTACCTTTATATATGGATATCAATTAAACAAGCCTCCGTATGTTTCAATAGTGAAGAAATCCATTTCTGAATGAAAATAAATCGTAGGACAGTCGATCAACACACATACCACTTTGTATATAAATATTTTCGTATGGGATTTGGAGCCAGCAAACAGGTTGTAATCAGTGCTGCAGCTAACGAAAATGTCGCTAGGTGAGTTACATTTATTTTGAATCAATATTTGACATCTTATCAGACATATATGGTAAAAGTTGATCCATGCAGTGTGCACATTTTAAACCATTCAATTACAACACCCACAATTATTTATACCACTAGTGTTTCCGGTTTCTAAACGTATTGCGAAAAAGATTGGTCACACAAGAATTGGTAGCAACTCGATCAATGCTGTCAGCTCTCTTTTGATCTCATTCTTAAGGTAGTGTTTAGTTCAATTAAGAGAAGAATGTGCTAATTATGATATGTCAAATGATGAATCTCCTACCATTCGAAATATTTAATTATTATTCTTGCATATCCTGGTAAGTTTACGAAGTGATCATTGTAGGTCTAACGTTTGTAGAAATACTAAAATAAAGAGTTCCTCAGTGGCGGATCCAGAAATTTTTATAAGTGGGGGCCCACTGATTGCCTAAGAGGGGGCCCACTCCAGTCATGCTTCAGTGATTCCCTATATAATCAACCAAATTTTCCCACAAATGGGGGGGGGGGGGGGCCGGGCCCCATGCCCCCCAACCTAAATCCGCCTCTGTTACTATTGCACAAATGTTTGTTTGTTAATTAACACACAATAAACAATATGACAATTAATTGGTCAAGTAAATTCCATCAAACATTTAAAATGCTGAATGCAGACTGTTTTTAATCAGTTTATTAGAATTAAGGATAAATAAATGTTTAACAAAAAAAACCCTACGTCACATTGGAACTAAAATTACATTATTGTTACATCGCTATAAACCGGAAACACGCGTTACACACGTGTAACATTTTATATTAAGTTACACAAACTAAAACAGAATTCACACGGGGAATACACACTCAGACGAAATAAGTTACACCCCATACATATGATGCGAAAGATACCAAAGGGACATTCAAACGCATTAATCCGGAAAATAGACATGACAATGCTATGGCAAAAAACGAAAAAACGTCAAAAGACAAACAGCAGTGTACAAAACCCGGTGTTGATCCCAGGTGCTCCGAAATGGTAGACAGATCCTGCTCCACATAAGGCAACCATCGTGTTGATCATGGTACAAACACGGGGATAAGTCTAAGTCGGTATAGTTCACATTCAAACAAAATAAGACTTAAGTGTGGTGACGACAATTGGTACATATTACAGGTAGTACGCACCTTTTAACACTCACTACGAGGCGACAACAATATTAAAGGGATTTCATACTTCAATCAGATTTACCTACTTCACACCGAATACACTCAAAACAAAGGGACTACACATTATATACCAGTTACATTCACAACAAACTGAGTACTCACATCACACGGTTACTCATTATATAACATAACCTTCACCACAAACCGAGTACTCACATCTTACGGGATTTTACATTAACAGTTACATTCACAACAAACTGAGTACTCACATCATACGGGACTACACACTGAATAACAGTTATTCTCGCTATAAACCAAGTACAAAATGTACTCACATCACACGGGATTGCACATTATATAACAGTTACCTTCACCACAAACCGAGCACTCCATCATACGGGATTACACATTATATAACAGTCACATTACAACAAACCGAGTACTCACATTGTGCGGGATTAAAAATTATATATAACAGTTACTCTTGCTATAAACCGAGTACTCACATCACGCGGAATTACTCAATATATAACAATTACTCTCGCTTTAAACCGAGTAGTCACATCACACGGGATTACACAATATATAACAGTTGCTCTTACTATAAGCCTTGGACACTTAAAACGAAGTGATAATATATTAAACAGTTACTTTCTTTACGAACCGAGATACATCAAATGCCTTTGTGGATGTTTTCGTCTTGTTGTAAGCTGTTCTGATTTGTTTTGTACTTATGAACTTAATATGATGATGAATAACAATGAAAGGAAGCTGTTCTGATTTATTTTGTAGTTAGGAACTTAATGTGTTGATGAATAACAATGAAAGGCTTATTTTGGTTATTTCCTACTTCGGAACTTAATGTGATGATGAATAACAATGAAAGGCTTATTTTGGTTATTTTTTACTGTTTCCATGGAACTGTTGTATGGTGTTAATCCATTCTAAGTATCTTTGATGTTAATCCATTCTGAGTACCTTGTTTTATAAATAGACTACAATAAGAGTACGCACTCAGTTATGCAGATTTCATACATTAATATTTACCTTTATACATTAATATTTCATGAATCATTTTCATTGGACGACTTATTTTTGTACTCATATAAAGAAGAATTCATACAGACCTTTCTCGGGAACTAAAAAAAAAGTATCTTGCAAAGTTATTTAATTTCACTTTCAGATATATTGACAATGACCTGTCACTCAATAACCCTTATTCAGTAAGTGGTTTCATCTTATATATATTCCAGTAAACCTGACCACAAGGATAAGCAATAGTAAATTTGCTATGTCACAGATTTTGGTAAAATTTTGCATACAACTTTGGCTCCTGAAACTATAATTGAAAATTGAAAAAATAATGAATTTATCTTTTGTATTCTCTGAAATATTATCAGATTGATTTTTTTCAAAATAGGGGAACATTTGTAAAGAAAGCACATACAATCGGCGAAAAACGTTCATAAATTTGTCTAAAATCATCAATTCTTCAATTTCAAATCTATAGATTTTTTCTTAAAAAAACAATTGTTGTTGATAAATAAATTTCCGTTTTAATGATGTAAAATAAAAATAGGGTCACCGATTTAGTTTCTACGGTATACTTTATTCAAAGTGGTGTTCTAGGTGAAAAAAAATTCCAAATAAAAGTCAAAATAATCTTACCGTCATCGATTTGTAAGGCATAAAACGTCGATTTTTACGTTTTTCACTACCAACGAGGAAAAAGATTGGTTAATACACCAATAACGAAGTCGGTGACAATATGATTATTTATATGATGTAGTTTTTAAAGAAAAATCTATGTATTTGAAATTGGAGATTTGATGATTTTAAGACACATTTAGAACGTTTTTTCTCCGAATTTAGGTGCTTTTTATAAAAATGTTCACCTTATTTGTTAGGATTTCATCAGTAATATTTCAGAGAATAAAAAGAGATAAACATTTTATTTTTTCGATTTTCATTTACAGTTAAACGAGGCAAAGTTGCATGCCAAATTTTACCAAAATCTGTGACATGGCCCATTTTCTGTTCATTGGCCTTACTGAAGGAAACTACCGAAACCAGAGGGTCTACCTTATGTTTTGATCTTTTCTTTGAACAACTTTAAACTAAAATCTGTGACCAAAGAGATGATTTTATCTTTCCAATTGTCAACTTTCTATTTCTCAGTAGTAGCATACACTTTGCCACATTGTATGGCATTTAAGTATCTCAATTAATACATTTTTCTCGTGCAAGTTCCCACTATCCTATACGGACTCCATTGACAAGAGTCTGCTTCTGACACAAACACTGCTCCAACAGTGTTCTGGGGAGTACAGCTGAAATCGACACTATATCACTTTAACATCACGAATTAGTTAACCGATGTGATATTTCTGTGTCTCAGCTCACAAGTTTTCGTGGTCTTAGACTTTTATAGACTTTAGAATTTTCGATTGATCTGTAAATTTACCGATTGTGTCGTATATACCTGATTGTGACATTTTGAATGAGTGTGGGATTTACAGATTCAGATTCAGATTCAATATTTATTAGATTCTTACCACATACAAACATATGATAAGATTCACAGGATAACATATAAAACAAATAAAACATTTAAAATGTATGCACAAATCTTATATAAAGAGTTATGACCATTATTAAGAACAATATATATATATATATATATATATATATGTATATTTAGACCCCTCTAACAAGAAATTTGTTTTACATGCACACGTATAAGAATTGCGGTTTTTATCCAACGCAATCATAGGTTTGAACGTTGTTTTCAATTTAGACTTTTATATATATATATGTATATATATATTTATGGTAGTGGGGTCTAAATACAGCACAAACAACATTTTCCAAAAGACCAAAAAAGTGAAAAAGTATATTTTAACAAAACGCATTTGACTAGCAGGTCGAACAACTGATGTTCTTAAACCCTGCTGACTGCCATTGGCGATTGCCAAATAAACGGATCACAAGATGTAACACATGGATCTTATTATTAATTTATTACCAAACAGAAAACAATAAATTTGCGGAAAAGATGGTATACCGCAAACATGAGGTGCAAACATCTGATGTTGACCTGCTAGTCAAATGCGTTTTGTTAAAATGTACTTTTTTACTTTTTTGGTCTTTTGGAAAATGTTGTTTGTACTGTATTTAGACCCCACTACCCAGAAATTTGTTTTGCATGCACACGTATAAAAATTGCGGTTTTTATCCAACGCAATCATAGGTTTGAACGTTGTTTTCAATTTAGACTTATTTATATTTTTTCGTTTGGGCTTGTATTATATTTGCCTCGGGTTTATATGATCCGTTCATCCTATTTCGACTCTTTCAAAATTCAAGAGTCTATCCTAAATTGAAGTAAATTATATGGCCTTCCAAATACCGTTTCGATTCCTAACATCACTGAAGAGACATTAATTGTCGAAATCCGGATATGGTGTACAAATTTTTGCACCTCATGTTTGCGGTATACCATCTTTTCCGCAAATTTATTGTTTTCTGTTTGGTAATAAATTAATAACAAGATCCATGTGTTACATCTTGTGATCCGTTTATTTGGCAATCGCCAATGGCAGTCAGCAGGGTTTAAGAACATCAGTTGTTCGACCTGCTAGTCAAATGCGTTTTGTTAAAATACACTTTTTCACTTTTTTTGGTCTTTTGGAAAATGTTGTTTGTGCTGTATTTAGACCCCACTACCAAGAAATTTGTTTTGCATGCACACGTATAAAAATTGCGGTTTTTATCCAACGCATTCATAGGTTTGAACGTTGTTTTCAATTTAGACTTGTATATATATTTATGTATACATTTTTGCACAT